ATGACTAGAAAAATGTCCTTCATATCATTATGTGTTTCAATCACCATAGCAACCACATGCTTTGATTTAAAATTGAAGCTGATTTAAAAAATGTTCCGGTCAACTCGTCCTCAAACACATTAAAACTCCAAATAAAACTCACGCGTAAAAAACAATTTACTTTATTTACTGAAATAAATGACTAGAAAAACTTCCCTCATATCATTATGTGTTTCAATCACCATAGCAACCACATGCTTTGATTTAAAATTGAAGCTGATTTAAAAAATGTTTGCATAGTCAGTATTTCTATTTGATTTATGAATTCTCTTGTACAAAGCGACTGTGAGAGGTGCTTTACTTGTTCTTTCTCTGGAATTTCGTTTTATTTGTAATGGTGTAAACTGCAAGTCTGGCTTCGGAATTTGTGGGCATAGTTACAGCACAACACAAAAATAAAACCTGCCACAAAGAATGAAATCTGCAGTGTGGTTCAATTCATCTGTTGACTTTATTACTTCCTACTGGAAACATGGGAATCGACGACATGCGCAGATCAACTGTCTCTCTGAAACCGGTAGCCTCAGCTGATGTCTTCGGGTGCGCATATGCGCGCGCTGAAAGAGGCTCTCTCTCGAGCCGGCGTATTCAAAAATTTCTCAGGGAGGAATTTTTGGTCTATAGTTCAGCTTTGTTACTTTCGTCATTTTCTGGCTCACGGAACATCTACTGATAATTACAGAAATCTGTTTGTCCATCTATCTGTCTGTCCCTCCGTCCTTCGGTTTTCTCACCAATCACTCATCCAATCCATGTCATGGACCCAGTGAAGTGCAGTTTTGATGTGAAGTTAAAACTGCACCTGCTGCATCACCACGTCATCAGTGACATAACAAGAAAGTTGTGATGATGATTTGTGAATTTCTAAATAAAACCCATTTCCTCAGGCCCTTTTTCTAACAATGTCCGACAGCCACATTTTGAACAGGCATTTTCTAGACCTACTAATAAATCCAGAAGCTTCGGTCTGTCCTTAGATTTTCTCGGCCCCTGTGAAGCTCAGTGTCTACGGTTTTTTAGATCAATGCTTCTATAGCAAATCGACAGACAGTGATTCTTTCATTTATTAATTTATTATTAACATTAACAATGTCCCTGATCAGATCGTCAAGGTCACACTGTAGTTTGACAGGCGCTGCACTACTTTTTTTTCAACCTTTTTCAATTGAAAAAACATATATGTATGTGTTCTCTTCTCCCTCAGGTGTGCCAGCAAAACGTAATGAGCTTTACTACGAGTGCTGCAAGGAGCCCTACCCTGATGTGACATTTACAGTCACCATGCGACGCAGGACTTTATATTATGGGCTCAATCTGCTTATTCCCTGTGTGCTGATCTCTGGCTTGGCCCTGCTGGTTTTCCTGCTGCCTGCAGACTCTGGCGAAAAGATTTCTCTGGGTAAGAGTGGGATGCCGAAAGACAAACACACATATTCTTTGTATCCAGCTGGACCAGTGAGATTTTCACTGTAAAATCCATAAATCTAAATGTATATAAATGTGTCTTATTTACGATTATATACATGTAATGGATGAATTCCAAGCCTATTAAATTACATTTTGTGCTTAAGTTTGAAAGACTTTAATCGGCCAATATGTAGTTATCAGACTTTCCGAATGATCAATATCAATAACAGCCTGAAAAATTCATTATTATTTTGGCTCTTTGATGAAATGATTTTGGCTTCTTGACATTTGAAAAATGTGTTATTGATCCAACATTTCATCATTTAAATGCAGGGAATCTAAAAAGTAAAATAAATTCACTGATAGGGTTTTCAAACAACAAGACCAAAACACCAAATGTATGTGAAAGAAGTGCAAGTGAATGAAAATACAGTCACAACGCCTTTAAGTGCAAACACATGTCTTCAACCACGTCCTTGTGAATACACGTCAAATCAACTTGAAATAATTGATTTTCAAAATAAGAGGCTCACCACCATTTTGGATTCACCTCAGTGCCTGACACTCGATGCAAAACCATCTGTGGATGAGCAGCCACCAGTTACAGTGTCAGAGCTACCTCAGATATGTCAGATGAGCCAGGAGCTGAGAAATGGCTGTAGTCTTGAGAACATAACTGATTACATACATAAGTAATTATAGGAATAATTTCACATACGAGTGACCCTCATCACATCATTATGTAAATACTCATGTTCTTTCTCTCTCTCTCTCTCTCTCTCTCTCTCTCTCTCTCTCTCTCTCTCTCTCTGTCCCTGTGTGTCTTTCTATCTCGCCCTCAAGGCATCACAGTGCTGCTCTCGCTGACTGTTTTCATGCTTCTCGTCGCAGAGATCATGCCGGCTACGTCCGACTCGGTTCCTCTGATCGGTGGGTTATTTTTATGTCTATGTCTCTATGTATTAACACTGGGAAGTCATCATTGCATTTTGCAAAAAAAACTACAAATTAGGAAAAGATATCCCTTGGGAAACAGTCAAACTTAAGTGAATGTAATATTGATTTAGTCAATTTATACATAGACAGGACTGACATACAGTATTTACAGTAAAAATGTGAGTGTCCATCTGAGCCTTTCTAACACTTCTAGTAAACATCAGTAATATAAAACATGCATCAATTATTGAGTGTTTTCAATGTGGGGAATTTCCTTATCGCTATAAATACTGTATACTGTATGTTCTCCTGAAAATTAATAAATAAAAATTCCTCTTTGGCCTGGGCTGGGCTTTGGCTTTGGCTTGAGAAGCCTGAGGGCTTGTATACATCATTGTCACTTCTCCCCGGATGGTGGATGGAGTAAATTGGGTGGCCAGAGTTAAACCTGTCAGTACTGTTAATATGCTGTGATATATGTCTGGTTTTCTGATGGGAAAGCAAGAAAGGAATGAAGAATATAAACAATAAAGGATGAAGAGACCAAGATGGTGGAAGAGGCGTTTAACATTTTAGGGATAGTTCAACAAAAAAATTGAATTCAGTCATGATCTATTCACCACTATGCCACATATGTTGGAGGGGTGGGTGAAGTGTTTGAATCCACAAAACACTTCTGGAGTTTCAGGAGTAAACGGTGTTGCAGCCAAATCCGATACAATTGAAGTAACTGGTGACTCCTTCTTCAAACATAAAAAAAACCTGAAAATGCCTGCATTCTGCTCCTGTGGCGTCATCCAAGTGTCCGTAAGCACCAATATTCAAATTCGACTCAGACCAGTGTCATTTACACCATCGTCCTCTGGATCTGCGTTCATGCTCACAAGCTCTCGGGGTACGTGGTGGAATCGCTACTTCCGGTAGCAAACATTTAGGCTTGGACAAACATCAGCGTGAAGAGAACCACAGAACATTGTGCACTTTTGACTTTTTTGGTCTATGTCCCATCCGCTAACATATAGGAGGTGGGGTTTGTGACCTATACTGTAGCCAGCCACTGTGGGTTTGATGAAGATGATTTGGCTTCACTTTTGGGGAGCGGCCATGTCAACCATCTTTATATACAGTCTATGCTTTTATCTTGTACATGTGTCCTTTGTTCCGTGTCATGTAAGAGATCAGTTCCATGGGGTCAAAGTGAGATATAGTATAAATATAACCAAAGTATTAATAGTGTATCATTAGTGTATTTACTAGAGTTTGGTCATGCTGAACATGGTTAAAGCTCACTGCCCTCTGATAAATGTGTCATCAATAGTAATTAAAGTGAATAATCAGTTTTTTATTTCCCATGACCTAAACACAAGGCCAACTGGGACACTTTTAGTAGCCTTGTTAAAATGACTCATGTCCCTTTACAACACAGTGGCTGAATGGGAATGTGAGTTATTGTAGCTGCTTGAACTGTAAATGAAAATTCAGCACCACTGCCAGAATCAGGCCACATGTCTTTTAATCATCAGACCCTAATCACCACATAAGTGTGCTCATTTTCATTTAGTTCATTTATTTAGACCTATCTCCAAAACCATTTGGCTCAGTCCGTTTTAATTCATCTTTAATGTAGTCAGTGCAGCCATGAACAACAATGCTTCCGTTACTGTATCCATAAAGTCATTAATGACTGATCACAAAGCAGTCAGGACACACTGTCCTTCCAACTCTCATAAACATTTCCTTAAACACCATTTCTGGCGCTTATTTCTTCTCTCTCCTCTTTGTTTTATTATTCTCTCCTCCACCTCTTTTCCTTAAGCTCCCCCTTCTATCCATTCATTTTTATTTCCCAGATCTGATAAACAAGGTCACATCCCTGACATGAGGTGAATGAAAGTTTGACTGAAAGTTTGACTTTCAGTGACTGTCATCAACTTTAGCTGTTTGCTTTACCTTCACAGTTTCTTCAAGAGAAAGGACGGCAGGAACTTAGATATACTGTGTGCGTGTGTGTGTGCGCGTGCAAGTGTGTGTGCGTGCATGCCCGTGTGCGTCAGTGCACAGCATTCATTTAATGTTCCCCTGCTGTTCCCTGATGCGGGTGAAAACATCCCTCCAGAACCAGAACTAATCTCCCTTACTCCCTCTTCTGCTGTGTCTCTCTCTCTCTGCTCGGCTGTTGTTTTTTGGTTTGTTTACCCCTATTCTCTATTTTGTCGCATTTTTGCACAGATTTTATTCCCCCTGTCTGGGTTCAAGTGGGCATCTTTGCCCCCTGGCAATGTAACTTATTGCACAGATTTATCAAACTTGTTTTCTTTTCATGTTTGGGCATGAAATCAACCTATTTTTGGGACTTTGTTGGAACCAAGGTTAATGTTGTACCTGCTAGTTTATGTTTGCTATTGGCTATGTAGTAGAGTTATTGAGTTAGTTAAAGGGCGACTGAAAAGGGAAAGAGCATGACCTAAAAAAGCTTGACATAATTTGTAACTAAGACTAAAATTAAAAACATTTGATTTGTTGTTTTATTTGCAGCTCAGTACTTTGCCAGCACCATGATGATTGTGGGAATGTCAGTGGTGGTGACTGTAATCGTCCTGCAGTTTCATCATCATGACCCTCATGGAGGAAAGATGCCCAAGTGGGTGAGTGACTGAAACTGATTTTATCACGTAATTATCACTACTGTGACAGAAAACCTCTGCCTTTATGAATGAGTGGACATTGTGCACATGTGCTGTACTCTCTCCTTTCAGGTTCGGGTGGTTCTGTTAAACTGGTGCGCCTGGTTTCTTCGTATGAAACAACCCGGAGATGAGCGCAAGCGACCCAATTACAAGTACCGTCACTCCTCCCAGCACCACTCCAGCACCAGCTCCATAGAGATGGGCACAGTACCGAGCCTCACCGTTCCCCTCTCACAGACATGCCCCCCTTGCCCCACCGGCACCTCAAACGGTTCAATGAGCCTCTACTTTGGAAATTACCACCCCATAGAGAGCCCACACTGCCCACCCTCCAGCGACTCCGGGGTAGTGTTAGGTGGACGTGCCTATGGCACCCCCAGCGACGAGGCCGAGCCTACTGGAGGAATCAGCAGCAACGTTGGAGGCCTCGGGATGGGAGTTGGCATTCCCCCACCAGAGATCCAACATATCCTGGAGGAGGTGTCTTACATAGCCCAGCGATTCCGGGACCAGGATGAGGCAGAGGCCATCTGCAGCGAGTGGAAGTTTGCAGCAGCGGTGGTGGACCGGCTGTGCCTGGTGGCCTTCTCTCTCTTCTCTATCATTTGCACCTTCACCATTCTCATGTCAGCGCCCAACTTCATAGAGGCTGTTTCCAAGGACTTTACATAGCTGGCTGCTGCAGCAGAAGAGAGGGAATAAAGAAGGTTCAAAAGTACATAAAGAATAGGTGAAGCCGAAGGGTAAAGGAATCCTCAACCTACTATCTGGACACACCATTGTCATGGGAGCAGGGACATGCACTGTTTTATGAGAAACATTATAGTATCTCCAGAAACCTCTTGCAATTGGAGGCTGGTAGATCTGCCAAGTAACTGAATCATGTAGTCAATTTAACAAATCAGGAGACAAAACAGTTGATTACAAAGACACGTCATTTTGTTTAAAATTCCAAATCAAGAATTGCCCCACTCTGTCTTAATGTCAGACACAATTTGTTCATATATGAGGTAAAGAGTTTTGTCATGCAGGCTAAACAGTAAAGACACCTTGGTAGACTTGAGGCAAAAGGTTAGGAATACCTGGGGCAGTAGAGAAGTGCACATCATAGATTTTCTTTTTTATATTAATTAAGATGTCGGTTAATGAGAGATGAATCGTCTTTACCGAGAAAACAGTGTAAATATCATTGTCGTATCTCCAGGAGTCATTTAAAACCACTTTTTAACTGCATGTTGCGGCACATGCGGCGTCACAGTCCACCTCACTGCCTCTTCCTCAGTCATCTCATCTCTCATATATGTACAAAAGCCACACATACAAATGTATAAATATCACCTCACTGCGAGCTCGTACACCAACTGATCACTTTCTGAACTCTTGATAAAGGCGACACAGACTTTTTTTCTGAGGATGTACCATCCCTGTAGTGATGTTAGTTTAGTTACTAAAATGAGATGTCTCACTGTGAATTTCATCATTTTGGGTTTGACTTTGATCAACACAGCATCGGACCCAACTCTGTTGCTTTGATGCTTGTTTAGAGGTAGGATCCCATTTCACTTTGTATTGTCTGTTGATTCAGTCATAATCAACAGTTTGGGTCAGTGTGGCAATGAAACTTCCTGTATATTGTATAAAAAAATCACAGAGTTGTCTCACATCTACTGGTGTTGACCAGTAACACAAGACGCACAGTGTTTTTTAGCGCAGTCAAATATTGTATGATAAACTGTACAATACATCTTTGGTTGTGCACTATACAAACACATTCAGTGACGCTGGAATCCAGTCAGAGTTGGGGATGCTGAGAGAAACCTTATGTAATGACGTCATGTTAAATGCAGTGCAGCAGTGGACTATGTGTAATTTGTGTTGATATGAACTGACAATGTTTTGCAACAGTTTAAGAATATATTTCTGCTATTTGAAGCAGCACTATACCATATTCATCTTTGGACAGTTCAAACATGGAGTGCACATTTGTTCTCTGTCAAATTCGTGCAGGCTAACGTCCACGTTAAGTGTTACACTTGTGCATCAGATAAGTTACACAAAGTTAAATAAAATATTACAAAAAAAAATATTGGGTCGGCGTTTGCTACTCTCAAAATGTTACCCTAAAAACTGAAATTAAATGAGCGTTTTTTTTTATTGATTTGTTTCGTAAACTTTGCCTTGCATTTACAGCCTCTTGCCAATTAGGGGTGCTGGAGCCCCCGCTGCCCTCTGACTCCCAGCGTCCTTGTACACAGCATGAGTTTATCTGCAGGAAACAGGTGAAGGAGTTTTGAAGTATTGTGTAACTGCTGTGAAAATACTCATTCATGTACTTTTAAAGGTGAACAGGAATTTGAACGTGTTGGTCCTCACTGAAGATAAAGAGTGATGTGACTTTTGAACCTCTGACACCACAGATCGGCAAGAGGCTTGATAGCAGGAGGACTCTCAACTCCATAAACCGCCATATCACCGGAGATATATACTGTAGACGTATAAAGGCCCTATTGTCAGTGAGTTTTGCCTGTGTTTTGTAGAGGGAGCCAAGTGACTGATCCATGCAACAAAGTTCTTAATGTGTGAAGATCCATCTTTGCCTCACATACACCTTTATGTTGTAGCTACAGAGTATTGGTCTTTTTTTCTCTTTTTCTGTCCAAGTGTCAACTTTTGGCTCCATGTTAATAAAAGTCTATTTATTCTCTGTATAAGTGTCTCTGGGAAATGCTTGTGTGCAGCTCCCTTCTTTCACATTTTCAAGACAAAGTCGACATCTCAACCTGAGCACTGGCACATCTCCAGTCTCTCTTTCCTATCAATCTATCACTCTCTCTCTCACCTATACACTGCTGTGACAATCAACCTGGAACATATTGAAGTATAAACATGCAGGTTTATTAAATGTGTGTTGACTATAGGAATGTAGCTCAAGTGTTAGAGCTCGATTGACATGTTTCAGGTTTATTTTAGTACACATACGCACTCTTATTTCCATATAACTAAATAAAAGGCCTCATATGTTAACAGGAGCTGACTGGGAAATAGGAATGAAGCTGGATTTTCAAAGTAAAAGCCCAGAGATGGTAATAAGACCTTACCACGAAACATGGGAATCAATGGCACACACCAAGCATCAGATAAGCACACACACACACACACACACACACTGACTCTGCTCACTTCTCTCTCTCTCTCTCAGTGTCTCTCTATCTCTTTCTCTCTCAAACCACACACATTCAAAACTTCTCCAGAGGAATTTTCTAGTCATTTGTATCTGGAATAAACAAGTGGTTTGTTGCTCATAATTTGGAAGATTCACAACAGAAAATATATATAATATAATACAATATCAACAAGAAGGCCACTAGATCTGGATTATTATTTGGAACTGCACCAAATTGCACACACTCATAATTATCAGTCCCCTAAACATGCCTGATTGAAACCCATGAATAATTCTCTGAGAAATCAACAAAATGTGGGAAAACTCCTCATCTTCCAATGTTACAGAAAGTGTTAAAAATGTTCTGGAGCTGCAGGAATATTTAATGAGTTCATTGACCCATATCCCGTTCTCCCACCAAGTTTTGTGGAAATCTGTCCTACATAATATATTTTGTAGTTTTACCAACAAACAGAAAGCATTGCCCTAGGCAGAGGTAATAAACTACACCTAATAGATTCACTGTAGTGAATTCATCAAATCACAGTTAAGTGTCACTGGGATAGTTTCAATAGTTTCAAGCCTGTTAAACTCCATCTACAAGTTAGAAGTTCAATCAGAGTGCATGCTACTTCACATGAGCTGGCAACGTGGCAGAAAACACATCAGCCAGATGTCTTCAATGTAAAATGATGGTCTGTTAATGAGGATAACACAGAGGAAACTGGAATGATCTATGTAAATGGTTGTGACTCAGTTGAAATAACAGTCAAACAGTATCACCAGGACAAGGAAAATACAATGTTTTTAAACTACTACAGAGAAAATATATAAGATAATGATAGGAAAATTGTCTTTGGTCTCAGATGAAAAAGGAAAATAAAATAAAATGTATGGGACAGGATATCAAATACAAAAATTGAGCTGAAATAGGCCAAAAAAGCAGGCGAGACAAAAAAATAAGTGGGGCATGTTTTTCCTTCTGTGGTCTAGAAAATGTGCTATGATTTCTTTTTTGTGCAACCAACAAAAGCTTCGTCTCAACTTCCAATTGTTTGATGTTTTCTGGAAGAACTCCAATCAATAAGACAGTGCCCATGTTTCAGGCTTAATGGTTGGTGTATTTATTTCTGTAAGAGATAAAAGATTTATGTTAGTGGGTCTGCACATTTACAGACTATCACAAACCCCTGAGTTATTAAAGAGAGACTGGAATCCTACTTATTCAAATGGAATCAGATGTCCTCGCTGAATCTTATTCTTCTTTGGCATCACCCTCAGTCCTAAAGTCTCATATTTTAAAAGTTCTCACTGTCTGCTCATTGAAGCTCTGTGTGAAATCAGCCATGTTTAGACTGATATGAGAATTTGCTGATCCAAGTAAACATCCCGATCTAGTGAATTTAAATGTTGTTTCATAAGGGGACCATTGGCCCTTACAGATCTATGTGTTAGTGTCATTCTGGTTTAGTTTCTCTAAAAGAAAG